CATACTGCGCTGAGAGACGTATCGGTGCATCAATACCTTCAAATAAATAGTGTTGGGACTTGGAAATGAGTGCAAAAATATAATAAAATCTAAATTTAAAAAAATAAAATCCCTGAATAGTGAAAAGTGCCAGAAAATAAACCCAAAAAAATGGTGGAATGCTGTACCGTTAACAAATGTGTAAGTGATGAAACTAACAGCAAATATCAGTGAGTAAAAACTATAATTTTAGCTGATTTAAATACAGTTAAAAGTTGTGTGATTTTACGGTCACACATTGTGAAAGAACAAAGACAATCTCTAAAAAAAAAAAAAAAAAAATTTTTGTGGACTTCAGGAACAGTTTTTTTTCAGTCAACATGTAAATTAATGCTTTTCTGTGATTTTACTGGACAGTATCTGCATTTTAACAAAACAGAAAAAAAATCAGTAAAATTGCAGTTAAAATAATTGTTTTTTCAGTTCTTAATCTACATAATTTTACTTAAAAATAATGTGAGACACTGGGAAATTACAACATTTTTGTTGATTTAAATACAGTAAAACTTGTGTAAATTGACAGTATAATGTCTTAAAAAGGACAAATTAATATTTGTAAAACTACAGATTTTTGATGTGAACATTATTTACATGTTTGGGCAGATTTTTTTGGCACTTAACTTGTACATTTTTCTTTTATTTATTCATTTATTTTTACCTTTTTTCTGTGGTTTTATATTATTTAACAAAACTGTAAAATAACAGTGATTTACATTTTTTATTCCCAATATGCATGTTTTTTTTTTAAATAATAAAAAATATGTTAAATAAAATATGTATTAAAAAATAATATTTACCTATATAATAAAAAAAAATACAATAAAAATCAAAACAGTTACCATCTAAATACATTTTTTCAGTGATTTTTACCAGTTATTATCTGTAGTTTAACAAAACTGGGAAAATCTGTAAAACAACAGTAAATTATTAAAAATATATATGTTTTTTTTTTCAGTGCAGATAATAAGCAGGCAGTAAGTTTTTGTTTAGCACTGATTTTATAATTAATGTCCAGTTAGAGATGCTCTTTTATCAGACTTGGTTCGACCCACATTTTGTGGTTTTGTGGAGCCTTCTCTTAGGTTGGGGTTTAAATCTGCCCACTGCCTCCACATGTCACGTTCTGAGCAGAATTCCTGCCTTGATGTTCCACAGTTCTGCTCATGTTCTGCGTTTTTGCGTCCGTCTTGGCTCTCGTCCATCATTTTCATCAGATAAAACCTCCATGGAAACTGAACCCATCTCAGCAGTAAACAGTGCTTCATGAACAGGCCTGAAGCTCAGCCGGCGCGGTAACATGACGCTGCAGTTTACAGCACGTTGGATCAAACCGCCGAGTTGATTTATCGCTCTGCTGCAGCGACGTTTCCAGGTGGAGTCCAGCTGATGTTGTGCTGCTGTTGTTAACCAGTTTGTTGGTCAACAGCTATTTAATAAACTATTTAATACTTTAAATTGCCATAAATCATGAAAAAGGTTGAGTTTCTTTGATTATTTATTTCACAAAAAAATGAAAAACACAGAAAGAAATCACCATGAACAACATTTTTCCAGGAGTCTCCTCTCTGCTCTGTGTTTTTAAAGCCTCCACATAATCTGTAGAAAGATGTTCCACCATCAGATGTAGAAAGATGTTCAACCATCATCTGTAGAAAGATGTTCAACCATCATCTGTAGAAAGATGTTCCACCATCAGCTCTAGAAAGATGTTCCACCATCAGATGTAGAAAGATGTTCCACCATCATCTGTAGAAAGATGTTCCACCATCAGATGTAGAAAGATGTTCCACCATCATCTGTAGAAAGATGTTCCACCATCAGATGTAGAAAGATGTTCCACCATCATCTGTAGAAAGATGTTCCACCATCAGATGTAGAAAGATGTTCCACCATCATCTGTAGAAACATGTTCCACCACCAGATGTAGAAACATGTTCCACCATGCTGGATGTGTCTTCAATAACTCTGTTCACTGTTTCTGAGCCATGCCGCATTTATTTGTCGATCCAGTTGGTTGGATTTTCCTGAGTCTTAAATTGTCGAAAATGATGTGAAACTTGTGCAATGCAACTTGAAGCTTCTTCAGAGTCTAATAAAATTGGCTAAATTTACTCAAAACTTGTCTAAACTAACTCGTAAATTGCCCAAAATAACTCAAACTGTCCAAAATTATTGTAAACTTGTCAAAAAAGATGAAAAATGTGTTCAAAATGACCATTTTAGAGTCATTTTGGACACATTTTTTTGTTATTTTGGGCAATTTTGAGTCCCACAATAGTTGCAAACACCTCTACAGATGTTTTCCTTCCACATCTAGAAAGATGTTCCTCCATGCTGGATGTATCTCCAACAACTGGCTCCTCTGTTCTCTGGTTCATTTATTTATTTAATGATCCATTAGGTTGGATTATTGTCTCCGCTCTGCTCTGTTGGAAACACTTCCTGCAGTTCATCTGAAAACTCTGAATTTTTCTCAAGTGACCGTCGATCACAGCTGAGTGTGTCACGGCTCCTTGGTTGAACAGAGGAGTTCAGATTTTTTTGTTTATTGCTGAATCTGGTCAGAGCCTGTATTTTTAGCAATTTTTTTTAAACAAGACATGCAGAACACAGTGATTTTGACGAAATGCAGTGATTTTAATGTTAGATTTGGTGACATTTTCCAGTTTAACGGCACAGGATCAAGTGAAATGGTTTATTTTTGGAATATATTTAATGTGTGACTATCAGGATTTTAATCTTATAGAGTGGCACGTCTCGGATGAGTAGTTTAAAGACTGTCGGAAGGTTGACAAATCTACAATTTTTCTGTTTTTATAGTTTCTGGCTCTGATAAATGGTATCGTTTTTGGCTATTTTTAAAAAGTTAATATGCTTTTTATACCTGTTGGTGGATTTTGAGGGGTTTAGAGAGTTCAAATGCTTCGAGTTTATTAAAACTCATATTCTGTTCATTGCACCAGTTTGATGGCTTGTAAATCCCTCGTTAATCAGGTCAAACCTCTGACGTGTGTCGAGCATATCAGGAGAAATTATGTCAATTCAAAGACAACGTATGAGACAAAAAGCTAAACAGAGATAATAAAATACAATACAGAAAATACAAGCTCAACAAAAGAGGGTTTTTATCGGCGAAACCCAGACTTTACATCAACATGTGTTCATTTAATCAGGATGTCCAGCTCGGCCACAGTCAGTCCTTCTGCCACCAACACAACACAGTCGTCATTATCAGCTAACGAGGAGCCACGTTTACGACTTCCTGCTTCTCTGGACTCTTAACTGAACTGCGCTTCCTGCGTCTACCATCCTCGGTTTCCCGTCGACTCCTCTCTGTTTGCAGCCCATCGCCATCCGGTGCGACAGCGTGAGGCTCCTCAGCGAGTCCAAGTGCTGCTGTCGGCCAACACTGTCCTCTTTGTGGCCACGCTAACAAAGGCGGCGGTGATGTAACGTCAGGAGGAGGATGGGATGTTCTGGCCTCTCGCTGTGTTCTTGGGTCACGTGACCGGCGCTGGGTTCTTCTCCCCCCCTCTCGTTGTGAAATGGTTCTCTGACAGGCCCGTACATTAGCGGGCGTTTGTTGGCGGCACCGACCGGACGGCTTCGGGGCGGAGAGAGAGGAGCCACTCGGAAATGTAGCATCCACTTATCGGCCGGAGGGGCAGAGCGGATCGGTGTGAAGAGAATGTGGGTGTGTTGTTGTTGTTGTTGTTGTTGTTGTCGTCGTAGCAGCAGCAGCTGTGAGCTTTTCAGGCCGACTCAGGATGGAGGAGGGAAGATGTTACTGTCCTTTTATTAGACAGAACACAAGATCACACTGTTCACCAACATCTGACCTCCGATTAAACCCAAAGCTGCATCCTGACGGGTCGCTTTGTGTGTTTGTGTGTCCAAAATGGAAGCCAGTGACTATCAGTCAATCCCAATGCATTCACCTTTACTCCAACATGCACTTTGTTTACTCCCAAATATACACACCTCCTGCTCCGTCTATTTAAATATTGAAGCTGTGCATACGTTTGCAGCTGCATCTTGCATTTTCTTATATGTTGAGCATCTGTTGTGCACTATAGTGAACCAGATTAGCATCTTTACACCAATAAGCCACATCCCTGTTGTCATCGATTACACCTGTACGTACTTTTTCTGCCATATATTTACTGATTTACCACTGTACCTTTAGATATAATAGGACTGTACACTGTAAATAAAGGAATTCGCTTCTCTTCTGTTCGGTGGAAGCGTCTTCAAACATCTATCACGACAA